GGAGATGTGCAGGAGGCAGCTGATCGATGTTTCTCTCTCATCGATGTTTTTAACTCTCTATCTCTCTCCCTTCCTCTCTGTAAAAAATCAATAAAAATATTTTTAAAAAACAAAACAAGAGAGAGAGAGAACACTTCAACAGGAAGCAGCTTCTGGGCTCCCTCCATCCTAGGATCAGCACGCAATTTATTCCAACCTCCCCTCCCCCACTCTCACTGCTCTGTATGGCTTCTCATAGAGGTGTCTGTCCCATCTGTTTCTCTGTCTTGTACCCCATTCCTGTCATGCAGAAATAGAAATAAAAAACGAGAGGTGGCAGAAACCTTGGGTATCTAATTCAGGTCTCTTCATTTTTACAGAGCAGGAAACCAAGTCCCAGAGTGGAAAGACAGTACCCACGTTTGCATAACTACATGTTGGCAGAGCAGAAAGACAAACCCAAGTGTCCTGGTCGCCAGCTCAGTTTTTTTTTCCCACTGCTCTTCATTATTTCTTTTTTTATTATTATTTTATTAATTTTTACAGAGAGGAAGGGAGGGAGATAGAGAGTTAGAAACATCAATGAGAGAGAAACATTGTTCAGCCGCCTCCTGCACACTCCTCACTGGGGATGTGCCCACAACCAAGGTACATGACCAGAATCGAACCTGGGACCCTTCAGTCCGCAGGCTGACGCTCTATCCACTGAGCCAAACCGGTTAGGGCCCCTTCACTATTTCTTATGTCTTAGTCTACCAGACTGTGACTCCCAGCTCTGCCTCTCATACTAAGCCTTGGACACTTTTTACCTACCTGGAACAAAGCTAATCACAGGGGTTAGTCCACATCAGTGACAGGAAACTGAAGCCTTCCCTGTTTGCCTTAAAATACTAAGAAGCCTAAAGGCTGAATGTCCACCCCAGTTTTCACTTTCCTACCCCCAGGTGCCTCTCCTCTTGCACAAGATGATAGAGGTTGCTAGGATATTTAGAATTACCTAGAAGTGAAAGTAAAATGGGGTTTTTTTCTTGCAGATTGACTGGTGGAATTCCTAGCCTGTCTCCTGGAATGGAGCCCAGATGTCCCTGCAGACCTGAAGAGACTTCTGGGAAGTAGTGAAAAAAGAAACCAACTCTATCCCTAGTTCCTCCCATTTATAGATGACCCAAGTCCGTACACCTAAACCCATAGAAATGTGGTCTCAAAATCAGACATCCAAAGACCATCCACGTGCTAGGATTCTCTAATTTGAAGAACCCATCAGACCTGAAGAACTCCTAAACAACTTCCTGCACCTGCACATTGGGCTCCTGGTCTCTAGGTCCAGCTGAAAATCTTGCTCTTTCACCCAAAGAGAGAGGGAAAAGATACAACCATGATAGCGCCCCTTTCCACAGTACCTCTGAACCATTTTCCAACTTCATTTGAAAACTGGGATTTGGTCTCTTAGGTTTATCTCAGACGGAGAGGTCCTAGATAGCCAAAATTTGGAAAATCCTCCAAGTGGGCCAAAACTCCCTACTCTCCCATCTCCATTCCCACATACCTCCAAAATTTAACCAACCTAAAAGCATGAATGGGATTGTGTGTTACAGATGAGGAGGAGAGAGATGGCAATGCCCTAGAGTGACCCTGCTAACCTCAATCATCTCAGGCAGAACATCTCCCTCTTAGATTTCAGTATTGAGTACCTACATTATGCCTAGGAATAGAAACATGAGGAAGATATACTTGCCCTCCTAAATCTTAGCATTATAGGGGACAACATATAAGCTGATCTCTTCAATATAGTGTGTGAGTAATAGAATGTGTGCACAGGAGGATTGTGGGGCAAGAAGCTAAACATCTGGCTAACCCAGGAGTTTAGGAAGAGCTTCCCAGAGATAATGAGGCCTCTTAGTGGAGCTTAGGAGGATGAGTAGAAGTTGACAAGATGAAGACTGGCTAGCCCTACCAGGTTTGGCTCCGTGGAGCCAGCCTGTGGACTGAAGGATCCCTCGTTCCATTCCGGTCAAGGGCACATGCCTGGGTTGCAGACTTGATCCCCAGTCAGGGGCGTCCAGGAGGCAGCCAGTCAATGATTCTCTCTCATCATTGATGTTTCTATTTCTCTCTCCCTTCCTCTCTGAAATCAGTAAAAAAATATTTTTTTAAAAAAAAACACCATGAAGACTGGCTAGAAATATGTTACTGTCTGAAGAGAGGCCAAAAGTGTGCAGGAAACCACTAGGAGATTGGACATTAAGGCACGGTCAGATACTGAAAGTCCTATGTGCCAGGCAAGGGAGCTTGCCCTTTTTCCTGAGGGCAATCAGGATTTTAAGCAGGAGCCATTAAGCAGAGACATGACTGATCAGATTTATCTTGGGAGCATATTGTGTGATAGGGTTTAGGGCCCTCACCGGCACCCAAACAACCTGACCTGACTCCACATGTTCCTTGGGACACCTGTGCTATCCATTGCCACTCCCTAATTAGCAAGCACCAAGGCCACACCTTGCCCACAGAATTGAACCTGGTATCACCAAGGAGAAGCTAGCCTGTTAAGGCTGAGAGAGCATAGCCTGGGCAAGACTAACAGATGAACCTACCAGACCTCTGAGGAATGTCCAGTCCAAGCCCTGAGATTCAGTGGGAGCCACCTTAAACTGTTTGGGGTGGGTGGGGGTAAGGGAGTGATAATTATTTATCTAAGGCCACTCAGGCTCTAGTAGGCTTGGCTCAGTGGATAGAGCGTCAGCCTGTCCGGTCAAGGGGCAGGGACCGTGTAGAGGCAGCTGATCAATGATTCTCCCTCATCATTGATGTTTTTTTTCTCTCCCTTTCCCTTCCTCTCTGAAATCAATACAAATATATTTTTTAAAAAGTCATTCAGTAATGGTGTGGTTGGTGGCAGGGTCAGAATGATGCTTTGCTTTGTCTCATTCCAAACTCTGCTTTCTCCACGAAGCCACCTTCCTTGGAGAAGAAAACGGGGGAAAGGATGGAATATAGTCAAGAAGAGGAAGGTGAGAAAGGTGTGAGGGGGTGTGGGGGTAAGAGAGCAACCAAAGGACTTGTATGCATGCATGTGAGCATAACCAATGGACACGGGCAGGGAGGGGGGCGTTGAGGACGGCCAGGGAGAGACTAATGGGGGGGAAAGGAGACTTATATAATACATTAAACAATAAAGAACTTGAATTTAAAAAGAAAGGTGTGAGGAAAAAGAGGAGTAGAGAGGAAAATAAATTAGTCTTTCAAAGTGGCAGAGGAGGAAGGAGAGGAACAAACATCAGGAGCAAAGCGGTGAAGGATAAAAAAGAGGAAAGGAAGTCGAGACGTGGGAGGATTGGAGCAGACACAAAAGGGCAAAGAGACAGACAGCGACAAGTGGAGAAAATTGCCGAAACTTGAGCGGCAACAAAGTCTGAGCTCTGAAAAACGGCGGCCTGTCCCGGCCAGTGCGCCCTCCCACCTGGCACCCTGGCAGCCCTATCGCCGGCACCGCTCCACTTCGCTCGGGGTGGCGGCCTGGCGCTGCCTCAGCTCCTCGCCGCTGGCGGGCCCGGCTCCGCGGGGCCGCACAGCCCACCCTCCCCTCCCGGGTTTGAGTCTACCGAAGCGTTCTTGCCGGAGCGTGGTTTCAGCCACGTGGGGAGGGGCGTGTCCCAGTTGCTGAAGAACGCCTCCGATTGGCTAGGGGGCGGGGCTCTTGGCAGCGCGCCGGCCGGACCCCACCCCCCGAAGGCGGGGCCTGAAGATTCACAGCTGGAAAGGGTGAAGCCTGGGAAGAGCAGCTGGAAGGGGGCGGGTCCCGACCAGCTAGGCTCGCAGCTGCGGGCTGGGGGCGCCCTGGGCTGCCATAAAGTGAATGGGCGCCGGCGGGGGGTGGCAGTTCGCGGCGAGTCTCACGCTCTCCCTGAGCTCCTCAGTCCGGGAGCGCCCGAGCGGAGCGGCGGCCCGGGCGCAGGGGGGCAGCCCCCATCCAGGCCGGGGGCCCGGCCCTTGGCCCTTGCCTGCCCTCCAGACT